CGCTGTTCAAATATACGAACCCGTCATCCTTGCTGGTCCCCGGTTTGCTCCCCTCTTCCTCGACCGGATCATTCCTACCCGAAGGCTCGTCTCCTTGGGGAACGGTTCCCGGGTGATCCCCTATCACCCTGGTAGGTGTCTCTCTTGCGACCTCACTCTCGCGGCCTGAATTTCCCTAGCTGCTCGAGCCCGATCCCGAAGATTCGCTTGAGTTTGAGGATCCCTGCTGCTCGGGGGCTCGCTCGGGAGCCTTGCCCGGTCGTCGAACGATTTCAGGAGAATTGGGCATGATCTCCACCTCCTCGTCGCTAACTTGCTCGAAGCCGTGGTCGTAGTCCGCGACCGAAATGTTTTGGCTATCCGAGTCCGACATATGGTTCTACCTAAAGGCCGGTCGGGGTTAGTACAGGGTTCGGGAAGTTAGCTCGAAGTTAGTTCTATCCTACTTCTACGCCAAGTTAAGAATGAGGGAAAAGATAAGGGGCTAGGAGCTTACCGATTGATGATACTTGGAAGGAAATCTGAAGTTCGCTTTGCTCGATCGGATCGTTGAACTGCCGCTCGGGACTCTCTGAGGGTACCGATTGCTTCAGTGGATTGAGTAAAGTTCAAATGAAGGCCTCAAGGGCCTATTTATAGGGGAGCGTTTAGGCGGGAAAACAGGTCCACTTGCGTGACGCGACCCGCACTGACTCCGAGGCGACCGTTACGGTCGCCAAGGCCGGTAGTGGCCGACACGTGGCGGGGAAGGAATGACAGCTGGCCGGTCGGTCGGATGGCCGACGTTAGGGCTTCGTCATCCCGTCCCATTTTTTCCCGGACGGTCAAAAAGACCCGGGCTGGGGGGCTTTTGGTAGGAAATATCCCGACCGACATAAGCTCCACCCCGACCGAGTTGTCTTTGTTCTTTTCTTCTTTGTCTTTGCAGGTGACAGGTCGGGCTTCCAGACGAAGAACCCGGTCTGGGTCCGACCGGGAGTTGCCCGAGTGATGGTGTCGACCACCGAGCAGTAGCCCTTTGGCAGGAGAGCTGGTACAGGACACGTGGCGGCTCTCTACGACGACAGGCAGGGCACCTGGGAGGTTGACACGTGGTGGTTACGTGGAGAACATGCCGAACGACCGGAGTCATGTCTCCAGGCGCAGTGGCTATAAATACCCACAGTAGCTACAGTGTAGAGGACTTTTGGACGATCGATAGGTTGTTACTAGAGAATCCCGACCGCAGTCAGTCGGTACTCAGAGCAACCAAGTAGATTGTACTTAGGGCCTTTACCGTGATCAATAAAGTCTTTTACTTGCTTTAATTGGTCTCGGGTTTATTTTATATTGCTTACGTAGAATTAGCAGTATCACCCTTAAAATAAATATTTCATTTATTTTTCTTCTCCAACAAATTATTACTATAATTTGGTTCAAACCAAACAGATACTATAGCAACCAAACCAAAATATTCCAATTACAATTTAGAATCAAAACGCGATATTTAGAGTTTATTAAAATCGCAAACCGGAATGGTCGGTTCATGTTCCGAACTGAAAAAATAAAATGCATTTATTGTTGAATTTAGACTATTTTAAAATAAAAAATAAATTAAAATTTTAAAATAAAGACGGTTCAAAATCGCGAACCGGATCCAAAACCGCCGGTTCACGGTTCATGATCCAGTTTTTTTTTGTTCATAAATTTAATAAATTGAAATTCAAATATTGGGTTCTAGATCTGAATTATAACCGAAAAGTTTTAATTCGATTGCTATAGTGTCCGGTTTAGTTCGAATCGAACCGTGATCATTGCTACATATACACAATAATTTGTTGGAGAAGTAAAATAAATAAAATGTTTACTTTAAGGGTAGAAATGTCAATTTAATATATCAGGATGAAAAATTGCCACTTTTAAAATAATTGAGGGGCTAATGTGCTTACATAAATAATTGAGGGGGAAAAAATGCTATAAGTATATAACTTAAGGGGAAAAAGTGTCATTTTTCCTTTTTTTTTTTTTTAATTAGAAATAAATTATGAGATTCAAATTGGTTTAAGTATAACTAACCATAAATTAACATTTTTTACTACGATTATTTTTTGAACAAATTATTATTGACAATGGGTTAAAAACATCGTATTTGAAGTTTTTTTTTTTTTTTTTTTTTTTTACAATTTGAAATAGATATCAAAACAATTATATATAAATCACTATGTAATAACTTAAAGAAAATGGATTTAAAAAGTCTATTATACTTACTAGATAAAGACAGGGTGGATAGCTTAACAATACTAGTTTGTCATGTTCGAGTGATAATTTTAAAAATTGTCAAGTTTAATAGCTTAACAATTGCCTTTGTCAAAGTTCAAGAGTCTCAACATTCCACATATTGGGCTTGTTTGGTTATCAACGGTTAGCGGTCAGCGGTAGCGGGTTATGTTAGCGGTTATCAAATAGCGGATTGTATTAACAGGTTTAACCAGCAGATTGTATTAACGGTTTATAAAAAAGTGTTTGATAAAATTAACTGTTTAGATTAGCGATTAACATGTAAAATGACCATAAGAGTATACATTATAATTTATAATTCATAATAATAATAATAATAATTTAAATAAATAAATAAATAAATAAAAGAACGAAAGAAGGGAGCAGCACAAGCTGCTCCCCTCTTGTATTCCCACTTTTCCCACCGTCCCACATCGGTGGGAAAAGTGGGAATGGAGCCTTGAGGCTCCTATTTAAGGAGCCTCAAGGCTCCACAAATTTGTTGCCCATCCCAGATGGGCAACATTGAGGAGCCGTTTTGGCTCCTCAAATTAAGGAGCCATTTCGGCTCCCTCATTAAGTTTTAAGTTTTTTTTTTAAATATAAACAGGGGCGTTTTGGGGAAAATTTAATTTTCCCCAAAACGCCAACTGTAAACGCTGCAAAGTGCAGCGTTTGCAAAAGCAGCGGTTTGGAGCAAACCGCTGCTAACCAAACGATTTTTTTTGGCAGTTTGACCATGTTAAACTGTCAAAAATGGCGGATCCGTCAATAACCAAACATGGCCGTTATCTATACTTATCTACGGAGTACTTAAGAAATGACTGAATATGTTGAGTATGATTCTAGTATTGGAAGGTTACAAGTTTTATTTTTGTCAATGTTCTCTCAGTCTAACTTGTTGCACATGATCTTCTTAGTGCGATTTATTTATTATGTGTAGTTTGTAGGTAATAAAGAATATAATCGGGGTATATCATCTTTGCACGTGTCATTCCCTTGCTCGGGATTCGATCGCCGCGTCGAGGGAATTATTCCCGACCTCTTCGCATATCGGCCCGACTCGGTACATAGGATCGAGCGGATGCTCAATCAACAACAGTGTCTTACCATTTATTGACTCATTCCGACCATCTTAGGTCGAGATAGGTGACCTGACCTTCTCCCTTTGAGCCATGAGCATCTTATTCCTATTGTCAAACTCGATTGCCAGAAATCTCGATACACGTGGAAGAATCAGTGAGGCCTCTGACCTCTCATTGTGCATGAGTCACATGTGTTATGCATGCCGAAGGACCGACATGGGTCTCCTTTTCCCTCCTATAAATACCGCGTTAAATACTTGTGAGGAGACTTTTGACACATTTTACACACTTAAATTTAGATTGGGACCGTCTGACCCGCTGTCACATGACCCGTGTTTAGAGACTTAAATCAACAAGCAGACCATTAAATAATTCATCGACGATCTGACTTTATAAACTATACGTATTTGTGGACGTGACCGTATTTACCACATTAGTAGATTATTACATATAAGTGAAGTTTCTATAAGTTTCATTCATCACCCAACAAAATATACTCGTATTTAAAATTTAAAATGTAACATACAGATAATTTTATTAATTTGATCTCAAAGAGAATTCAACCATAACAATAATAATTTAAACTCAGAAAGCATTCACATGAAAAATATTCCACATTACTTTTCCAAAGAATATAATACAAGACATGATAGTGTAATATGTTGAAGTGTTGAACACCTAATTCATTCATTAAAAAGTAAAGTAGCAAGGAATATAACAACTACTACTAATAATAATAACAATAATAATAATAATAATTTATCATCATGCAATATATTTTCTTTTAAAATAATATTTTCAAGTTGACATGGAAATGCTCTTCCTACATTTTGATGATAGAGAGACAAATGTCTTCAATATTCTTTTGTTGTCCTTTCGTATTGTTGTTATAAGTATAAAGTGTAAATTTATCAACTATTACAATATTAAATTTAATAAAGTAAATATTGATATTTCAATCAATGCCTTGATATTTATAGGTAGGCTAGTCTTAAGAGTATCCTAAAATAGCTTCTTTTTTTTTTTTTTTACAAATTTTAAAATGCCAAGTATGAAAGAATGAAAGAGGGGAAAAAACAATAAAAATTAATTTTCAGGAAAAAAAAAAAAAAAAAAAAACTATGATAACCCGCCGTTCTGGTGTACTTCAGGCGCACCGTAGTATGTTGGTTTTTTTAGTGGGTCCACATTTCTTATAAAAACCATGTTCTCCTGTAACAACTTAATATTTCTCTCACATCTCCCTGTGTCCTCCACATAAGCATTATAACATGCAAAAATCATCCAAAATCCCCTATTGGGATGCTCTTATTATATCACCAAAAAGAAAGGGAGAAGATTGTTGTCACTATAGTAAAACACATTAATAAAAAAAAATTGCCTGGAGAACAAGTATAGTGACAAAATCACAAAAAGCATACCTATTGATGGCAAAGTCCTGTCCTGTCCTATGCCCGTATTGTGAGCGTTACCCAAAATTAATTGAATTTTTGTTCTAATGTAGACAAGTTAAATATGCACTATTAGCGTAATGATCGAGACCTTGATATTTATATACTTTAATTTAGTCTTTCCTATATTTAATAATAAAAAAAAAATATTGCCACTACATTATGAGGCATTAATAATATAAACTTTTTTCTTCCGCCCGCGAAAAATACGGTACAGTTTGAAAATAACGAGTCTTTAAATGGCGGTGCAACGTCTACCCGTGATGAAAAGTAATAAAAACTTATTTTTACACGTAGACATGGTCAATATGCATGACAAACTTGTCACGTTTTGTAGCAAAAAACAAAAGATTTGTGCACTTTCTGCCAATGTTCATCCAAAGCACGCACGCTATTCATCCAACGTGACCACTCACTCTTTAGTGTATTTATCTCCCTTTTTGTTTTCAGTACAGAACGGGCTTCATACGCGTTTCAGAGTATTCAGGTATCCATTGAAATGGGCGTGATTATGAGATCGGAAGCAATGCGGCTTTTGTTGTTGACGTTAATGGCCGTTTCTCGTTCCCCGGCGACCGTGGCCGGCGAGGTGTACAAGGTCGGCGACGCGAATGCTTGGACCATTGGCACCGTTGATTATCGCCAGTGGGCTTCGTGCAGGGCTTTTCACGTCGGCGACGTTCTCGGTAAGGTCGTCTGAGTTCTTAGAGGACTTTTTGCAAACAGGTGGGGGGTTATGACTTATAAGTGTTTGTTATGAAATTTATGTGCAGTTTTCGAGTACAATCCGGAGGGGCACAACGTGATGCGGGTGGGGCGGGAGGATTACCGGTCGTGCAACACCGCGTCGCCGATCGCCACCTACGCCTCCGGCAACGACTCCATCAGGATTATGGGCCCCGGCCACTACTACTACATCTGCGGGTTCGAAGGCCACTGTCAGGGCGGCCAGAAGGTTGACATCAGAGTTTTTAAAGTTCCTCAGCCCACTGAGGTACCCAGCGGCGGAAGCCCCGCCCTGTCTCCCCACCACACTGCGGCTCCGGCTCCGGCTCCTGCGCCGGCGCCGGCGCCCGTTTCCGATATCTCTCCGCCTGGCCCGTCGCCGAGCGGTGGTCTCAGCCTGACTCGTTCCCGTCGCCTTGCGTTACTTATTGGGATCTCTGTTTTTCTAGTTTAGTATCTTATGATGTTTCATAGGCTTTAATTTTGTCGATTCTGTATTTTTCTCAGAATAGTTTAAACTTTTAATTGCATCCTCTTTTTCTCCCCATCCACCTCAACATTCACTAACACACTTTTCTAATTATTCAAATTTTTTTTCAAATGATAAAAATTTGTATCAAAATATAATATTTATATTAAAAAATTATAATACTAATCGAAAATAAAATATTCTATTACTAGAAAGTGTAATACTTTTACATTTTAATTTAAAAGTACTACATTTTTCCTCATAAGTATTACATTTCTTAAGTAACGAACACTTGTCGCAATTACTTATATAACATATAAGGAAGTGTGTAATACTTTTGATTTAAACGTATTATATTTTTTCTTAAAAAATATTACATTTCTATTATATGTAACAAACACTTTAATCCTGATTACCATTACATTTTTCATTTTAAGTATTACATTTTCGTACCGATACAGACTCGTAACGCGAATAAAGATATGTGAAACAGTCTCACACAAAGTATTACCATTTATAAATTTTGCGTGGATCCACCAATTTACACAAATCTTATTATTATCATTCTATAAGTTAAAATTTCAAATATAATTATTACTTTTTATATTGAAATTAAACTTGTAAACCTTTCATTTAAGAGTTAATTCCAGCAATGGTCCTCTGACTATGTTGATTTTTCATAATTGGTACTAGACTTTTAATTTGGACAATTTAGACACTTGACTTTCGAAATCTTTCCAATGTTGATCCTTCCGTCAGGTGAAGATTAACTGTACATTAGTTTGAGGGGTAAAGTTGTCATTCCACAATTAATTTTTTTTTTAAGTAACTTTATTCTTTGCTTTTTCTTCTTCTTCTTTGGCATCATCATCACCAAGTCCTTGAGATTCTTTCCCTGCCATTTTGCGGATGTTGATCAGTTGGCTGCCATTTTTTTTCTTCAGTTCTTGAATCTTGTTCTGGTTGTTGGTTGTTCGATATGGGTTTGAAGGGATTTGTTGAGGGAGGGATTACTTCCATTATTTCCGGGTGAAAATGCAGCTCTAGGGCGAATCTGCGACAGTGGTTCAGACCTGTGATTTTCACACCACTGCTGCCCATTCTGGTCATATTCCTATTCCTCTGTTGCCGCGCTTGGGACCCATTGCGGTGGGTGTGAAGATCATTCGACCGGTGGGATCGGAGCTGCCGTGGGGAACCCCGCAGACGTGCTGGTGGCATCGAATTCGGTGGACGTGCTGAAGACGAGGATGATGAACATGAAGGTGGAGCCGGGGATGGCGTCGCCGTACGCCGGCACCCTTGACTGTGCCATGAAGACGATCAAAGCAGAGGGCACCATGGCTCTTTACAAGGACCCTTCATCCCCACCATTTCACGCCAGGGACCCTTCACTGTAGTGCTCTTTGTGACTTTGGAACAAGTCCGCAAACTTCTCAAGGACTTCTGATTCCGGTGATGATGATGCCAAAGAAGAAGAAGAAGCAAAGAATAAAGTTATTTAAAAAAAATAATAATTGTGGAATAACTATTTTACCCTCAAAGTAACATCCACTTAACTTTCAACTGACGGAAGGACCAACATTGGAAAGATTTCAAAAGTCAAGTGTTTATATTGTCCAAATTAAAAGTCGGAGACCAATTGTGAAAAATCAACATAGTCGGAGGACCATTACTGGAATTAACTCTTTCATTTAATTGATAATTATAACCTTTCATTCTATAAGTTAAAATTTCAATATTAAAAAATTGCATTGCATAAATTTAATAACAAAATTTAACAAAAACCAAAATTATATATAACAAATAGTTGGTCATTGCAACTCCAACGACCATTTAATAATAGAGATAAACTTTCATTTGCAAGAGAACAAAGTTTTCAAAAACCCATCTCCCAATTGTTATTACAAGAGAGATAAGCACAATCAAGCTACATAAAATAAGAGAAGTACACATTCTCAAAAAATTGAAAAAAAAAAAAAAAACAAAAAGTATGAGCGTTTACATGGTCATTTTTCTTATAACTTGAAACTTAAGACTTACGAAGCCTTCGAACCATCCCTTGAAGTTCAGCCTCGAGTCTTGTTTAACTGGGGACTTTATGGGAGGTATGCGGTTTGGATTCTTGTAGTTTCTTATTGTTTAGTTTTCTTTTTTCAACTATACTATTAATTTATTTTAAACAAAATAAATTATATTTTAAAATTTTAATTTAAGTTATTTGAAAATTACACAAATTTTAAATTTATTTGTTTGTATTAAAGAGGAGGGGATTTTAAATAAACATCCTTCCCCTCGAAATATTTTGGGCCAAAACACTTATAATTTATATTTTGTCAACACTCGTTATGTTGAACAACCAAAGGAGGATGAATATGCACCTGTACTGGTACCCCACATTAATGATAAACATACACATTAACCAACTAATCAACAACTTTATTTAACAGTCAAATTGTCACTAATTAATTTAAAATGTCGGTGGACATTCAACGTTATTTATATTCATTTGTCTACCAAACTAATTAATTAAGCTTAACTCATATCAAATGCACACTATCTGTGTGAAGTTACTATAATTATGTGCATCTCCTTTAACGTTTTTCATCTGTCTATCTTCTTAACTCATATAGAATGCACACTATGTGTGTGAAGTTGTTATAATTATGTGCATCTCCTTTAACGCTTTTCATCTGCCTATCTGCATAACTCATATAGAATACATAGTGGGTGTAAGGTCACTATAATTACGCGCATCTCCTTTAACGTCTTCTATGATGCAAGATGTATACAATAAAGTGCGATCAATCATATCATATGATGCGGTTAATACATTTATTTATTTATCTTTAACAAGAAACATCTCAAAACAAATATTTTATATCCAAAATTAAATTAAACCAACAATAAATTCACATATCATCACATATATAGTACGTATAATCCTTCATAATTGCTCTCATTTCCTATCTCTCTTATTCTCTACTTCTTCTTCTTCTTCTTTCTCCCAATCTCTTTTATTCTCCATCTATATATCTTCCTTTTCGTAGTGGTTTGATTGGGGTTTAATTTAAACCTTCCTTTTAGCCATGTTTCTGTCTCAGAGGGCCGCCATGGTTTTCTTCTGGTTAGCTACTATGATGTTTTGTGAAAGAGCGATGGGCGAAGTGTACGAGGTCGGCGATGCAGCTGGTTGGACTACCATCGGCCATATCGATTACAAAGCTTGGGCGGCGTCGAAAAGCTTCCACTCCGGCGACACCATTGGTAAGTCCTACAGTGATCCAAATTTGTAGGATAGATGTGTCCGATGGGACATCGTACGTTAATATGTGATAGTTACACATGTCATATTGTGTGTGTGTGTTTTTTTTTTTGGGTTGAAAACACAAAATAGTTGATTATTAGACCGGAAAAGATGAGTGTAGTATGATTTTTATTTTACCGGAAACCTTATAGTCATTAACGGATCAAACCTGAGACCTTATAATTACTAAGTCAATTGTTCGACTAAGTTGATTGGGCTGTCCGTATAGTGTAATTATCGTAGTGTAGTTTGTTAGGGTATACCAATTGACATGGATAATAGTTGCAGGTTTTCATCGTCACTTAACAAATATATATATATATATATATATATATATATATATATATATATATATATATATATTGATTATTATAAGTGATAATAGTTTGAAAAAAAAAAATTGTTAGGGTTGAAAAGTCATATGAAACTTGTGGATGTTCACATGTTATTTGTGTGTTACAACATTTGTTCAAAATTTTAACTGAATAGTCAAAATTGTAACGATTTGAAATAATTAAGCATAATATTTGCTTAGGTTAAAATGATTGTACCCAACACAACAACTTTGATTGTGATGTTTCACACCTAAAATAACAAGTGATTTATTCAAATCATGGCAACATACATACTTATTTCTTCAAACGACTAATATAACGCCCTGAGATAATTGGGTAACTCTAATAATTGCAAACTCAAAATTGCACATCGTTGTTGTTGTTGTTGTTATTATTATTATTAATTATTAATGGTATAAAAGTTTATTTGTTTGTTACAAATTAAATATAACAGTTTTTAAGTACAACAAGGAATTTCATAATGTGGTGAGGGTGACCCATAAGAATTACAACGCATGCAACGCCACCGGCGCCTACGCCACCTACACCTCCGGCAACGATTCCTTCGTGATAAAGAGGCAGCGCACCCACCTTTTCTTCATCTGCAGCATTCCCGGCCACTGCGAAGCTGGACAGAAGATTGACATCAGGGTACACAACGGAAGCAACAGCGGCGGCGCCCCAACTCCCACCCCATCCCCACTCCCCGATAATCCATCGTCGCCACCATCTCCGACCGACGTGACGCCAGCTCCTGCTCCGAGTTCACCGCCGGCGAAGTCTCCGACGGAACATAAGGAATCGGCAACGGCATCGTGCTCCGGGAAGCTCTGGATGGCCATTGTGGCAGTCGCTGCCTATTATTTGACTTCACCGGTGGCTCTTTAAGCATTCAAAATTTGTTAATTTTAAATAATATTTCTCTCGAATGTGACATTTCGCAAACTATTTTAAGCATGAAGTATTATTTATTGTTTACTTTAGAGCAATCTCCATAGAAAAAAAAAATTTCTTAGTTTTGTCAGGTCAATTTGGAAAAAGGAGAGAGAAAAAATAATAATTGTGTCAAAAAAAATTGAATTTATAGGCCGAGATGAACCGCGCACCAAGTGATTGCATGTTTTTTTCTCTACCATAACCGCCAAAAAACTTGTTTTTGCAAGATTAACTCAATTTTCTTTCTCATTTATTATCTTTCCTACATATAAATTATGACCCCACAAAAAAAAAATACTATTATGATTTTTTAAAAACAAATAACCAAGTACCCTTTCAAAAAAAATAATAACCAAGTACCATTCATTCATATCCCTCATTAGAGAATTACAAATGAAGAGAGGAGGGTGAAAGTGCACCTCCCCACTATCTATCTTAAAAACAGACTCTCTAGTTAGTAGGTAGGTAGTCCGGTTTGTAGATCATTTAACAAACGAGGCATCAACGTGAGCCAAAGAACTGTACTCAACAAGTCTTTTACATCAAGCAATAGGTAGCAAACCAAAAAAAGAGACTCCAAAGTAACTGTTTAATCCTTGGACAACCACCGATGTGTTTGTCTCCAGATGAACTCTCCAAACTGGTGATGCTTTAACCAACTACGTGCTTCAGATCTCTTATAGCCATGGTTTCTACTTCTCTTGGAATGTGGGATCCTCTCCATGGTTTACACACACACATTCGTTATGAAGTTCCCCTCCTCGTCCCGCAAAACCCAATCGAATCCCAATATGTTGCCCTCTTCATCAATTGTCGCGTCTACGTTCAGCTTCAACCAACCCAATTAAGGTTATTTCCATTATATTTATCTGAATAAATCAGCAGCTATATGGGTATGCATTGCATTACACCACCTGAATTAGCTTCTTTCCATTCCCTAAAATAATCCTTCCAGGCGTAGACGGTAGACATGTTTCTCCATATGATTGTTTATCAATTCCCAGCAGTCCTTAGCTATTTCACATTCAACCAAAGTATGAAACATTGATTCTTCTTCATTCATGCAGTGTTGCAAAGACTGGGACTATCCACCTCATGTGGTCAAGTTAAATTTTACAGTAATAGGATTCATAAACTTTATGATGCAAATATTTATTAATTTGATTTGTAATTGAGATATTTTTTCTTGATGCAGTTAACTTAATATATTATTTGTACTTATACTTTAATTTTTGGACTTGCCAATGTTATTGACTCGTGACATAATAAAAGTATAAAATGTCTTTTTTTTTTCTTTAATTTTAGTTTGCTACATTTAGTAACATCATTCTATTTTGAGTAACGAGTGCAATTCATAGTCATTATCTAAAAGGGTGTGTAATAGATTAATCATATTACTGAGTAATACTTTGTAAATCACAAATTACAAATGAAAGATACATCACATTATTAGGATCGGAAGACAACATGCCACGAGTTTGATCGAGATGGTTCCCGAGTGTAGTTTACTTCTCCTTTTGTGACTTGCATGATATTATGCAGGAGCGAGATTTATATACTGCACATTATATAGTGATTGTGAGTTTCTCTCATTTTTCTAAAAAGAAAATAGAATTAAATTTTATAAAAATTGAAGTAAAAAATGTAATGTCATTAGGGATGACAATTTGTCCCGTCCCCGGTAGGGATGGAGATAAGGAAAATTTTCGAGAAACGGGTACAAGGACGGGATAGCCCTCCCCGTCCAATCCCCGAATAATTATTATAATTTAAAAATAATAAATTATATAATATATGTATAAAATTAACACATTAGTTTTGAAATTAAAAATCACACTAATTTATGATTTTGACTAAAAATTGACCGGGGACGAGAACCCCGTAAAAAGTCAAAAACAAGAATGTGGACTATTTTCAATTTCTCGTCGGGATGGGGTTTCGGAGACGGGGACTGGGAATATACTCCCAGGCATGTTGTCATCCCTAAATTTAATTGGATTAAAATGATAAAATTAAGTTTAAAAATATTATCATAATTGGAACTAAAATTGGATTAAAGGAAAGATAGCTTTAACTTTTATAAAATTTTGTGTTTTATTCTTTGTGAAAATTTGGAAAAATAAATTGATGTTAGTTCCACTACCGTCCTCATTAGTGGAAATTATGTTGACAATATTGAGGGCACATTTAATAAATGGCTCACTATATAGAGATTGAAAATTCCTTCAAATGGGAACATTTCTATGAAGAGCTTTAAGTTCCCACTACTAATAATTTGTTTATAAAAACCCAATAGGGTAGTTCAAGTGGCAAATGAGCTTTCTTTGTGGGGGAGAATTTTGGGATAACCTGGGTTCGATTCCCACAAGTGATGATTCCCTTTGGGCCAACTTCTGTGCCAAGCGAATCGGGTGGACCTGGACCGTAAAACGGACAGAGAAAGACCTGGACCACAATGTGTGGTTTACACCGAAAAAAAAGTAATTTGTTTATAAAGATGGTGGATGTTGAGCCATTTTGTGCCATGTGTGGTATCATCCATGAAGACACTATGCCACAATGTGTGGTTTACACCGAAAAAAAAAGTAATTTGTTTATAAAGATGGTGGATGTTGAGCCATTTTGTGCCATGTGTGGTATCATCCATGAAGACACTATGAATTCATTGGTTTTGTGTGACTATGCAAGCTCCAGACACTATGCATTCATTGGTTTTGTGTGACTATGCAAGCTCCATATGGAGACAATCCAACCTTCTAATCCCTAACCTTGTGACAAATATTTTTTTTATGTTTGGTTTAGCGAAGTCTTGAATATTTTAGACACTAATGAGATTATGTACCCACCTGCAATTCTATATTATATTTGGAGAGTAAGAAATAGAGCAGTTTGGGATGCCTATCTCCCGATGCCGAGAAAATTGTTGATGACAGCCACTACCGCCATGCAAGCATGGCATGCCGTACACCCGAACAGTGGCCAACACCCGCTGACCGTGCCCACCTAGCCAACCGATGCTGCTGTGCCTGCCGACGCCGGCATTGCTGCTGTCAACCATGGAGGTGCGCCACTGCCGAGAATGCCAAGAATCTGCCAAGTCGATGCCAGGTACCACCATGTGACAAACAAAGCCACAATTGGAGCAGTCTTACTCGATGGCGATGGGGGCTACGTTTCGGCTTACAGTGCTACTCTCCCAGATTGTTTCACTCCACTTATGGCAGAAGCATTCGCGTGCAAAGAAGCTTTGTCATGGTTGAGGGGTCATGGGGAGCGGTTTATAGTGCTACACACGAATTGCTTAACGCTTTAGCATTACTTATCTTCCGTAGTTGCCCCAGTTCGCACATATATTTGAATATGCCATTGATAGCTGGAGATCTTACATATCGTCTTTTGACTTTTGTTTAGTTAAATTCATTCTTAGATTTGAAAATTATTTAGTTCATACTTTAGTTTCATCAATTTTTGATCAGACTACTGCTATGTTTTGGAATTCGATCCCACCTGATTCAATTTCAGATTACATCTAACAAATGCCACTATAGCTGTTTTTATCAAAAAAAATTTATGTTAGTTAATGGCGGGAACGCGCTAAATCCCTTAAAAAACAAAAATTTAAAAACAAAATTCCCACACATCAGCTTTAATTTGGGTAGGAAAAGAAAAAAAAAAAAGAGATATATATATTCCTAAACTACCCCACACACTGCACACGTTCATTTACTGCTCGCTCTGTTTCACCCCCACACCTCTCTCTCCTCATCTTCTCTCTCACATGGAGAACCGGAACCAGAAGCGCAGCGAACGGTTTTCGAGCTCCGGTTCGAGAAGGAGCTTGAAGAGGAAGCTGGAAGAGGTTTTGGAGCACGATCGGTCGAGGATCGTGTCTCTCTCCGTCGAAGAAGCTCACCGAGATCTCGTCGTCGAGGTCCGTGCTCAAGTGGAGATTCTGGAATCGTCGTTCTCTTCGACGGAGCAGGATCGAGCTTCCTCCAAGCGAGCTATCCACGTCCTGTCTGAGCTGGCGAAGAACGGTAATTCTAAATACTCGATTTGTGTTGTTGTTAGCTGGATCGAGTTGTCGGTGAACATGCATAGGGGTTTTGGTACGGATTTTTGAGATTTTTGTGCGTTTGCAGAGGAATTTGTGAACGTTATTGTGGAGTGCGGCGCAGTCCCGGGTCTGGTGCGGAATCTTCTGCCGCCGGTTCCGGCGGGGGAAAGAGATTCCGGTCCGATACCGTATGAGCATGAGGTTGAGAAGGGGAGTGCCTTCACACTTGGGCTTCTTGCCATAAAGGTAATTATCGAACAATTATGATCTGTACTGTGTTGTACAGATTTTTTAATTTTTAATTTTTGTTGGTTAGCTCTCATCTGGATATCAAGGAGATAGTCGAGAAAGTCATAGATAATCGTTCTCAAAATTTGGAGTATACAATTTTAGGGTTTAGTGAAATGCTATTATGTATGCTGAAGTTGCTTTTGTTCTGGGAGGGTCATGGAACATCATGATGTGGTGGATGATCTCTATTCTGAGCTGCTGAATTCTCAAGGGACATGTATGATTGCTGCATTTGTTTGATGATATTCAAATAATTCCAAGCTCTAAGTTTAAACTGTTGATGATTCTGAGAGAGTGCTATCATGTTTGCTTTAATGTTCTGCAATCATTTATATAAAACATTGATTAGTTTTCTTCATCATGATGATAAAACTTTGCTTTGAGTTATCAAAAATTATGAGCAGACTGTTGCTCTCCATGCACTTAAATGTGGGGCTTTCTAACATTTCAATTGTTACAATAACAATTAACAATAATACTTTTGGTAGCAGTGTAGCAAATTAAGTCCAACACAACTAGACCATTTCAACCTCAACAATTATTTCATTACATGTAATTGGTATATCATTTAATCCTTTGCTACACAAAGGTTCTATCCAACAGAATTTATGTGCTAATCTATATTAATCTGACACACTTTACAGTCTAAGGATGTACATATAACTGACTTCGGATGCAATACTAAAGTTTTTTAATCAGTTGAAGTTGTCCAACTTTTCTATGTCTAACAGCCAGAGCATCAACAACTCATTGTTGATGCTGGAGCCCTGCCTCATCTTGTGAATCTTTTAAAGAGACACAGAGATGGTCAAACCTCTCGGGCAGTGAATGGTGTTATCAGGAGAGCAGCTGATGCAATCACCAATCTTGCTCATGAGAATAGCAACATTAAATCTTGTGTTAGGTATTGCATAATCTGGAAAATGTTGGTCTTTAGTTTTGTACTAAGTAAAACAGTAATCATTTATGACACCTTCAATTTCCAGGGTTGAAGGTGGGATCCCTCCGCTTGTTGAGTTGCTTGAATTTGTTGATCCAAAGGTGCAAAGAGCAGCTGCGGGTGCCTTGAGAACTCTGGCCTTCAAAAATGATGAGAATAAGCATCAGGTATAGTTTTCTTTCAATTGCTTAATCTGTCTTGGAATTTGCTATTCTTTTATATTCCATTAAGGACATATATATGAATTGCTTACAGATAGTAGAATGCAATGCTCTACCCACTCTTATTCTTATGCTTCGCTCTGAAGATTCTGCAATACACTATGAAGCGGTCAGACATTTGGTTTCTTTTGACTTTGAACTTAATTTTTGCATTTGCTGCCTATTTAGATAATCTCTGGCATTTTTTGGTACCCTCTAGGACTAATTATATTGGTGTTATGTTAGGTTGGTGTAATTGGAAATTTGGTGCACTCTTCCCCTAACATTAAGAAGGAAGTTCTTGCTGCTGGAGCTTTGCAACCTGTCGTTGGATTACTTAGGTCTGATTAGTTTATGCATTTTGAGGTTACTGTTTAGGATTTAATGCTTCCACGGCAGCAATGAAATATGTCCCTCCATTTTAAAGTCAAGATTTTGCTTTCTCATTTGTTTTCTTTTTTAAAATACAGTTCTTCTTGTTCAGAGAGCCAAAGAGAATCTGCTTTGCTACTAGGGCAATTTGCTGCAACAGATTCAGACTGTAAGGTTGATTAAACTGATACGCCCTGTTTGCTTTGAAAAATGAAAACTCTTATTAAAATAGTTTCTTCCAGTTGACATTATATTAATATTTGATGATTGCAATTAATATAATTTTCAGGTGCACATTGTTCAAAGAGGTGCTGTACCACCACTAATTGAGATGCTTCAGTCTCCAGATGCTCAATTGAGGGAAATGTCAGCTTTTGCACTTGGAAGGTTGGCACAGGTAATCTTCATGCCTGGTGATTTTTATATCTACCTGGGTGGTTTGTCTGAAATGAAAGAAGCCTAGAGGACTCATTTTCATAGTATGCTATGGATACAGTACAAGGATGCCATGTACTGTTGATTAGTTTGCTAGAGTACTCTCCCTCTCACATTACACAGTGGATATGCATTGCACAAGGAAAAGCACAGATGCACCTTGTGGTCTGGCTAGTACATTGCAATAGAGAATCTAGGATTTTCTATTTCTTGAAATCAAGTTTATTTTGCCTTACCAATCACTGATACATTGTATCTATACTCTGTATAAAGAAAACAGTTGGTTTGAGGGTATTTGAGCCCTTCCTCTTTGAGTTTAAAATTTTAAAATGTTTTGCCTATAGCTTTAGTTATTGACTAGGTATTGTTGGTTCCTTTATTTATAGGATTCACATAATCAAGCTGGTATTGCCCATAGTGGTGCTATTCTGCCTTTATTGAAGCTTCTTGATTCAAAAAATGGATCTCTGCAACATAATGCTGCATTTGCACTTTATGGTCTTGCAGATAATGAGGTAATGATGCTTTTCTCCGTTTGACCATACCATGAGTTGTAGCTTAGTTTCATGCTTTCCTTATTCTTCACTTGTTGCAATTTTGAAGGATAATGTTGCGGATATAATAAAGGTTGGAGGTGTTCAAAAACTTCAAGATGGTGAATTCATTGTCCAAGTATGAACTTATCATCCTGTGATATTCTTGAGCTTGTATTGGCATTACTTTGTTATATCTATTAATGACTAATTTTTATCTGTATAGAATTAATCTACTGACCCAAGTGGATTAATGGAAACTATCTAAATAAATTTTCCTCTAAATTTGTACTTAATAAGTGTCACTTATGGCTTGCTAATTATATGGTTACTTCTTATATTATCTATCATAATTCAAAACAGTCCTCTCCTTGATACCACCATCATAAGAACATTTGTCTTTTCATGACTCAACATGGGCTTCTTTAGACTAATGTACTTCTCCAGTTATATTTTATAATATAATGTATAATATATAATTACAGTATCCTATAACCATCTTTCTGATTTTCCTGCCACATGCTTGAGCTTGAATTTGATAATTTCCTTTACAGCCAACAAGAGATTGTGTTGCAAAGACTCTGAAAAGATTAGAGGAGAATATTCATGGACGAGTAAGTTCAATTTCTTGTAGCAGGGAGTGAGGTTTTCTTTTCTATTTTTGTATCTTATTCGGAATTCTTGGAGGCTTCTCTAGGTATTACAATGGGACTCATTACCCCACTCTATTCAACTAATCTGTCATTCATCACTTTTGTTCTCTTTTTTGCAGGTATTGAGCCATTTGTTGTATTTGATGTCTGTTGGAGATAAGGTTGTACAAAAAAGAATAGCTTTGGCCCTTGCTCACCTTTGTTCTCCAGAGGATCAAAAGACAGTTTTCCTTGATAACAATGGTAAAATATATAAGTAGTATACTGTGAGTGGGCTTAATGTAATCAACTTTTCTAAACATCCTGCAGAGACCTAACACATGTCTTCCTTCTGTATTTGTGTTTTGTAGGATTGGAGTTGCTTTTGGAGCTTCTAGAATCTAATAATGTAAAGCATCAACGCGATGCTTCTGCTGCTCTGTGCAAGTTAGCTGATAAGGCCAACTCGCTTTCTCCTGTCGATGCAGCTCCTCCGTCCCCAGAACCTCAGGTTTGTTTTATCCTTTTTGGAGGATTAAGTTTTACTTGTGCTGTGTTCTGCGTATAGCAGTGTTTTAATGCTATTTAGAGCAGTGATGTGATTAATTTTGTCCTAATAGTAACCACTTGATAGACAAATTTATTTAGTCTATTTATGTCTTCACCATCTTGTGTTGATAATTGTGGCTATTTATGCAGGTGTACCTTGGGGAGCAGTATGTAAATAATAATACACTATCGGATGTGACATTTTTAGTTGAAGGTATAAAGCTGTTCTATTATGAAGTACCTTTTTAATATTCTCTGTAGATTCTTCATACCAATGTTTTTGGTGCTGATATAGTCATGTGCTTTGATCAGGTAAACGATTTTACGCCCACAGAATTTGCTTGCTCGCATCTTCTGATGCATTTCGAGCGATGTTTGATGGTGGTTACAGGGTCAGTACGATTTGGTTACATTCTTCTATATGCTTTTGTCCAATGTTCCTCCTGTTTTATAATTGAACATTTAGGTTTCTATAGTACATGCTATATAATCAATTTGATTGACATATTGCAGGAGAGGGATGCCAAAGACATTGAGATCCCAAATATCAAATGGGACGTATTTGAGTTGATGATGAGGTTAAAATCTACCCATACAACTGATGCAGGACTGACTAAAGAAAAATATCCTAGGATTTTTTGATAGAGGGTCTTAACTGTTCATTTTCTTTCTGACAGGTATGTATATACAGGATCAGTTAACGTCAATTTGGAAATCGCACAGGATCTTCTAAGGGCTTCTGATCAGTATCTTCTCGAGGGACTAAAACGCCTATGTGAATATGCAATTGCACAGGTTAATTCCTTATTAAGGACATTTTTTATTTGAAGAAATGGTGAACTTTTTGTCTGACATTGTTTTTTCTTTTCTTAAGGATATTTCTGCGGAGAACGTCTCTCTCATGTTTGAGTTGTCCGAGGCCTTTAATGCTTTATCATTAAGAAATGCTTGCATTCTTTTCATACTGGAGAACTTTGACAAGCTAAGTGCGATGTGCTGGTAAGTTGATTACATCCAAGAAATCTTGTATAGCCACGACTGAGTTTAGTTTAGACCAACTGACAAAGCAATAATAATACCATGTTATGCAGTTTTTCGGATTTGATTCAGCGTATATTACCAGAGACTCGCAGTTACTTCGTAAGAGCACTCACCGGAAGCTGACTTGCGGAGGCAGAAGATTATCCTGGGCCTGATTTTGTATGGTTTTTGATTAATTCTAATCTCATCCAGAAGAGGCAAGATGTATAAAATTGGTTAGTTTTTGTTGTAGTGGTAGTCCCAGAATGGAATTGCCAGATATAGCTATCTTCATCTGGAACTGGTGTTGTAATCCCCCCGGTTGAATATGAATGCTATTATTTCTTCCTTCACTGGCCTTGAATGCAGGCTGCTCAGTAGTATATTTGCAGAGTTATTTTCACTTTTGGTGCTACGAGTATGTGACTATTTTCATATTTGATCCTTGAACATTTATGGACTAAATTCAGTAGCTCATATTAGGTGCCTTTGAAAAAACAAACTGAAGTGAGCTCATTTATTTATTTATTTATTTATTTATTTATTTTTTAAATCTATATTATGTAAATTTCCAAAATGGTGTTTCGATTATAACCTTTACTCAAGTTGGTCATATGACTTTTCAAACTTTTATTAAAGCAAGTGTTCAATACACGAGGGAATAGAAGTTAATTAAAGGATTAGTTTGTGAACGTGTAGTTCTAGTTAAGGCATGTGCAAGCTTGTTTGTTGATCTAGAGCTTGATAAACACTTTCAAAGTAAAACCCGAGTAATTTAAATATTTACAATGTAAATTTTCTATTTTCTTCTCTAATTTGATGGTCAAGTTTATGCCTAACTTTAACAAATGATCGATTTAGTTTAAAATTTAATAATTGGAAGATCATTTTGGTTCAATTAAAAGTCATAGGACCAATTTGAGAAAAAAAGAATATTTTGAAAATTTCTTCCATAATTTATTTTGAGATTATGTTTTATCCATTTGATCACTCTTTTTTTTTTTGAACGATTTGATCACTTTTTTTGGGCATCAAAATTTGAATGTTAGTATAAAAGAGAGATTTTATAAAATAAAATGAATTAAAATGAGCTTCTCCTGGGAGCGGGCAAAAGCAAAAGATAGGAGTAGCTGAGGTGAGCTGCGTGTTTACACTCAACAGGGTGATACTGATATGGCTGCACAGCTTTCAGGTGTGTGGTTTAACGGTCCCGCTATACCACTCACCGGCGGACGTTCTCTTCAGTGCCGGAGTAGCTCGTCGCCGTCGGCTCTCTCTGCGCTGCCGTCTTCTCCTTTTCCTTCATCTTCTATTCAGGCAAGACGCTCGTTATCCCATATATGCACACACTCGCGCTTTTTAATTTGTCATTTTTTGCGCGAATTGAACCCAAAAATTCGTCTAGGATGATTCTATAGGAGGAAATTGGAAAAATTTCTTCTGGTGCTAAGTGAAGCTTTGTGTTCTTTAACGGTATACCGAATTTTAGTTCCAATTTTTAGAAAAAATTTCATGTTTGGCCTGGAACCACGCCTTGATACAGCTATATCGTCTCTGATAGGAATATATACTTTTTTCAAGTATCTGAAACAGCTTTGCGTTTGTTATTACTTTATTGAAGACAAGATTGAGCATCCACATTGTTATTCATTATTGTCCTGCAAAATCTTAGTTTAGCTCCTCTTTTGGTTCGTCTGTTTGGGGTTTGAAGAGAGAGCAAAAAAATTGTTGGTACTGAATTTTGCAGATTGTTGGTGGGAAAGCTAATGGATTGTACTTAAATGAGACTTCAAAGCTTGGTACCACTTCGGAGGGCAGCCAAGAAAAATATGATTGGAATGATTTGGAGACTGATCTCTATTACTGGACAAAGCAATTACGGCCAGTTCAGGTATGGATGGGTTCTTGATTTGAATACTCTCTGTCTACAGGGCTTCTTATTTTTAATTGTTATTTCCTACAAAATGTCTGGATTTTAAGCATTTTTTGAAAATTAAAATTTGGTATTTGTTGTTCCATACACGCACTGAGGCTTATATATTCGTAGTGGTACCCTGGTCATATTGCAAAAACTGAGAAAGAGCTCAAGGAACAGCTGAAATTGATGGATGTTGTGATAGAGGTTCGGGATGCAAGAATTCCCATGTCGACCAGTCATCCACTGGTAAATTCTTTTGTAGCAGATTGTTTTTGGCTCTTTTTGAATTATCGATTTGTCTTGCTATTGACTAGATATGCTTGACCAGATGGATTCTTGGCTTGGTAACAAAACACACATTTTAGTTCTGAATAGGGAGGACATGGTATCTACAGCTGATCGGAATGCTTGGGCTGATTATTTTGCTAGGCAAGGAATAAAAGTTGTGTTCTCGAATGGGAAACTTGGAATGGTAGGTATAACTTATGCTCCCTCAATCTCAAAATGGTTGTTCACGTTTTCTTTTGGTACGTTCTGAAATATTATCCACTTTCCAAAAATGAACATCCCAATTCCCAAATCTTTTTAGTTTTCTACATTATCCTTCTAATAAAATCAAAACTCCAAAGGTATCCACTTTTTATGGACAAAGAGGAAAACTACATACTTTTTGTCCACTATCTTTCATATTTGTGTTTAAAGTAAATGGGAAGACCATTTTGGGATGGAGGGTGTAATGCCGTTGTTCATTATTTGGTAGTTGCTCAAGCATTAGATGGAGTAAGATGATTTTGTTTTTTAACTGCAGGGCACCTTGAAGCTAGGCCGGTTAGCAAAAACTTTAGCGGGTAGTGTGAACATAAAGCGGAAGGCAAAAGGTTTACTTCCACGTCCAGTAAGTTTCATCCCTTACTGTTATATGTACGATTGTATGCGCTTTGGTCGCTATTTGATAATAGATGTGCCATTGAGGCAACTTTAGCTTAGTGTCTTTTTAATTAACCGGTGTTGCTTATCAAATAATGATGATAATAAACAAATTAGAAATAATGGATCTCATCTTGCAATGAAGTTCATGCGTAATCCTGAAAACAGATCACGAGTGGGCAAAACTTAGACTTCTAGCAGTTGGAAAACTGAAAACTTTTAGAGGACTCTAATTTGTTTTAAAATTGTCATACTGTGACAATGTTGATTCTCCAACTCAGCTGCTGTTTACAAATTGTCAATTGTAATATGGGGACTTTTAATATTTATAGGTTCGAGCAGGAATTGTTGGGTATCCAAATGTTGGTAAATCATCTCTGATAAATCGTCTACTGAAGCGTCGGATGTGTCCTGCAGCTCCAAGACCGGGTGTTACTAGAGAACTTAAGTATGGCCCATCATTTTTTTCATTGTCTGATTTTTTTCTAAGAGTTAAACTGTACATGCACATGACACTCATTTAGCATTTTTTGCTCAGCAACTGATCAGAGGAAGTATTAACTTATGAGTTAGTTATAGGCATTTTTGCATTTCAGCAAATAATAACTTACTACCTTACGACTTATGGGCTTATTTAAGTAATACTCTGCCTGTTAACATAAACTGGGCCAAACTGGCAAAATGGGCACCGTTGGGTATCTTGGGCTAGAGAAATGTATGCACATATGTATATGGAGATCTATGTAATAGGTCTAGAGCGGGTCCTTAGATTTATCATTATAAAATAATGAGCAATTTGTACTAGGATGCCAGATAAAACTCAGCATCTGTATGAAGGTTTCTAATATAGACAAATATCTTGTGGTATGGAATCAACTGTGTTCCTGGTATCTGAATAAAATAAACTTGCTGACTATTTTCTTTTTGTTTTCACAACGTTAACACATTTCTTCTGTGAAAAGATGGGTCCGTTTTGGGAAAGATTTAGAGTTGCTTGATTCTCCTGGCATAATTCCAATGAGGATTAGTGATCAGACATCAGCAATAAAGCTTGCCATTTGTGATGACATTGGGGAAAGATCCTATGATGTAGTAGATGTTGCTGCCGTTCTAGTACAAATGCTGTCAAGAATTCCAAATTTAGGTATGCTTCCTTTCCTTTTTTGAGCTCTATTCAATTAGCATTCTATAGCTATTACTTGTTTTTTTTGGTCAGGCCATGAGGTGTTCTGATCAGACCCTAACTGTAGGACGCACCTTTAAACCCGTACCATACTCAGACTAATCCCATTCGCACTCGGCCCGGCCCAATTAAGGGGCAAAGTGTTGGCCATATTGGTTTTTCCATACAAGAGGGGTTTTTAGCTATTACTTGTTTAATATGAATCATTGGAACGCTATTCCATGGCGAGTAGTTTCTATATTTATATATTATTATAAATTAGTTTATGAATTCTCATTTTGAAAGTTGTAGGAAAAGATTCAGTACTTTAGCCATAAAGCTTGCCACTTTTTAATACCTTTGGCATCTTTCTTAGGTGGTGATAAAGTTCTTCAGGACCGCTACAAAATTGGGATCGATGGTCATTGTGGCAAACTGTAAGTTTTCTGTGCTCCAACGATATGCCCATTTGCGGGGAAACTAATTTGAACTGTGGAATCATCTGTGCATAATCTCACACAGTTCCCTCATTTCATCCTTTCCAGCTATAAAGGAATTATAACATGTCATTCTCGGTTAAACTTATGAAAAAAAAAATGTTTGTTCTCGGTTTGCAGATTTGTTGAGAAGCTCGCACTTCAATTGTTCAATGGCGACACACACCAAGCATCATTCCGCATATTGTCAGATTTCCGGAAAGGGAAGTTTGGCTGGGTAAGCCTTGAGAGGCCACCACGGTAAGCGTTGGCTGTGCATAAATTCTGTACAGAAGACCATGTAAAACGCCTGGGCAGGCTTTCAATTCATCAAGCCAAGATTTTGCAAGATATCATCACATTATAAAATCCATAACAACCAAGATTTTGCTATGTTCTGGTAACTAGAATACCCAATCAATCATGGAGATTAGGCTAGTTTCATGATTTGATCCCTCTAAATATCACATTATAAAATTCATAACAACCTGTCATAGCCAAAGTTGCTCAGTCTTTGAAATCTCTAGTGTTTGTTTATTTGTTTTGGATAGATTATAAACAGCATGATCCTGTCAGGCCATCCCAATACTATTTGTCCTCAACAAAGGACGAGATCCGTTAGGTTGCAACTTATTCGGATAGTTGCTATCTAATCTTCACAGCTACTAGCCTCTATCTAATCTTCATTGCTATTAGCCTCTATCTAATCTTCATTGCTATTAGCCTCTATCTAATCTTCATAGCTATTAATCTCTGGGTGAATGTAGGTGACAGATCCAACCCTTCCCATGAGATCATTTATGGCTCTAATGATATGAAGGTAGAGATTTGCCTTCTTTCCCTTTCATTTCACCTTTTGGATGTAGAATTGTAGATTATGAGCATGATTTACTTTCAAACTCAGTGATAGTAACCAACTTGGTTGACGTGAGTGGCCGTGCACTCTCGTCCTTTAAGAGAGATCGGGAGTTTGAATCAACTCTCGTATGAAAAAATCAATCTGACCAGTACTTTGTCCCTTAATTGGGCTGGTCTGGTGCGAACGAGATTAGACTGAGTATAGTACGAATTTAAAGGTGTCTTTTACAGTTAAGGTATGCTCAGGACACCTCGTGGTCTGAGCAAAAAACTTGGTGATAGTTGGCTTCCATGATTGTCTTATGACACTTGTATCTCAAAATGACAAAATAATTGTCCCATGGCACTTGGCAGTTCTACCTACACACCAAAACATACATCCCATGAAACACTTGTACCTGAATCCCAAAAGATTTAAAGAGTATAAAGATTAAAGACAGACTGCCAGAGAATCTTTTCCTTGCGCTGGTCACGTGCAATCTCAACCGGAGGCAGACATCGCAGAAATACAGAATGGGAACCAATACTGTGACATAGAAATGTGTTCCAAATTAGTCTTATCTTGATAAGTATATTGCTACCAGAAAATTGTGCTAGCTTGAATGAAAGCGACTTAAGGGTAATAGGGTATGTTTGGTCAATCATTAGTGTGTGGACCATCAATCATTAGTGTGTGTGGACTGTGGTCCACACAAATTGTGTGGACTATATTTTGTTTACTGTATAATAATGAATATTTATTACAAAAATAATGTATATTTAATACAAAAATAATGTACATTATTTTTGTTCCGAGTGTATATTATATTGTATAATTTATATTCAGTACAAAAATAATGTACATTTAATATATTAAAAATGTATTTTTTGTTATGGTCCACACAATAATTTGCCATGTTTGGAAGTACATGGTAAATTCAAGCGGGAAGAAAATAAGGTCATTTTGGCGGAAAATAACTTCTGCCAAAATTTGGTGAAAGTCATTTTCTGCAAAACACAAGGTTTCCGGCGAAAATCAACTTTTTTTTTTTAAATTATTATAAATTTTTTATAATCTAAATAAAATATTTAAAATGTTTAATTATACAATTCTACTCATTTTTCAGCAAATGAATCAAACACACCAAGATAGTTTTTCAGAATGCAACTAAATACGGGAAAGAAAAATGTTTTTGAAAAAATGACTCATTTTCAGAAGTCATTGCTTCAGTGTTTGTGTAGGGGTTCAAATCTCAGTAAAAATTTAAGAGGTCAGTGAGAGATATTGACCGATCAAAGGTGATAAAAACTTCTTGTACACAGAATATACACGAGGTGGCTCCTAATTTACTTCTTCATATGATTTTTAAACAAGAGTTTTGACCTTTTGGAGGCTTAGGCATCAGGACTAGTGTAGTGGGATATTTAATGTATATACATAAAAAAAAAAAAAAAGAATGGCAAGAATTAGAATTTGACCCACCACGTGAGATAACCATTACAAGCCAATGCACGTGAGGGGCGGGGCTCGTGAGAGCAGTTACCATTTCCAATTTAGTTATTTTTTTAGTTTGTTTGTTTTTTTCCCAATCTCCCTTGATCCCCGGTTATGACCAAACGTAACATAAACTCCATTCCCATTATTATAATATAATAATATAATAATATAATATCGCATTTATTCGGATTATAGTTTAAAGAAAACTTGTCTTCTTCTTCCTCTCCCTTGAAACTAGCTAGCTACTGATCCATCTTCACTTTTGTCATAGTTAGCTACAAACCTGTCCGGCCATATATCTCTCTCTATATATCTTCATACTCCCCAGATCAGATCCATCTTAGCTTCTTTAGGTCTGTTCTATCTATCCATGAACGCCATGGAGAATAATGATAAAAATAATAATAATGGCACCAAGAAGTTTATCACCACGGAGGAGCTGAAAAAGCACGACAAACCCGGGGATCTATGGGTGTCGATTCACGGCAAGGTGTACGATGTTTCCGATTGGGTGTATCGCCATCCCGGCGGCGAGTATCCTCTGTTGAGCCTCGCCGGGCAGGATGTGACGGATGCGTTCCTGGCTTACCACCCCGCCATCGCCGCCCACCATCTGCAGAGATTCTTTAATGGATACTACGTCTCCGACCACCAGGTGTCGGAGGTGTCGAAGGATTATAGGATGCTGGTGTCGGAGTTTTCCAGGATGGGGCTGTTCGAGAAAAAGGGGCATTTGGTGTCGTACTACGCCGCCGCGCTGTCGGCGATGTTTCTGGTGAGCTTATACGGGGTGGTTTTTATGGAGAGCGTGTGGGCCCATATGGGGTCGGCGGTGTTGGTCGGATTTTTATGGATCCAGGCCGGGTGGGTGGGACATGATTCTGGTCATTACGATGTTATGAAAACTAAAAAACTCAGCCGGGCAGCGCAGCTTCTCGCCGGAAACTGCCTCACCGGAGTGAGTATTTGGTGGTGGAGATGGAACCATAACGCCCACCATATTGCATGCAACGTGGTGGATTACGATCCCGACGTTCAACTCCTCCCTATTTTCGCTTTCTCCAATAAACTTTTCCGGTCATCTCTAATCTCCCATTTCTACGAGAAACCCATGTCGTTTAACTCCCTCGCCAGATTCCTCGTAAGCTATCAACACTGGACATTCTACCCAGTCATGCTCTTAATCGCGAGAATCAACATGTTTATTCAATCCTGGAAAACTGTCTTATTCAAGAAAAAAATCTTCGCGAATCGTGCACAGGAGATTCTGGGATTAATCATCTTCTGGGTTTGGTACCCGTTTCTTCTCTCCAGTTTACCCAACCATTCGGAGAGAATAATGTTTGTGGTTCTTAGTTTAATGATGACGGGGGTGCAGCAAATCCAGTTCAGTTTAAACCATCTCGCCTCCAGCTTCTTCGCCGGGCCGCTCACCGGAAAAGACTGGGTGGAGAAGCAGATCGACGGGACTCTCGACATCGATTGCTCGCCGTGGATGGATTGGTTCCACGGCGGATTACAGTTCCAGATCGAACACCACCTGTTCCCGAGAATGCCGAGGTGCCAGCTGAGGAAAGTGTCGCCGTTTGTTAAACAGCTCTGCGAGAAACACGGAATAGCGTACAACCATGCATCTTTCTGGGCAGCCAATGCTTTGATGTTCAAATCCATCCGAGATGCGGCGCTCATGGCCAGGGATTTATCGCCGGAGAAAGCGCCCAAGAACTTGGTCTGGGAAGCGTTAAACAGTTTCGGTTAACGCCGTCATCCGCCGTCGCCGGCGGAGATCCGTTAACCCGACGTTTTATTTTATTTTATTTATTGTATTTTGTTCTGCACACTGTTCCATGCATATCTGCAAAAGATCAGATCGTAGTAATATTTGAATAACCAAATATCGATGCATTAAAATTTGTGTAAAACCCTAAATAATAAAAGTATCAATTCTATTGTTTAATTAATATTATATTAATTTTTACATGAATATATCTGTATATCTGAATCTCTTGATTCATTAGATTCCGTGTCTCTGATCTGTGTGTGTTTTTTATGGAGAGGAAACAAAGAAGCTAGGGATGAAAAGTTACTAGAGAAAATTTTCATTAGAACTTTTATATCCACAATAATCAAATCACAAGTAAAAGATGAAGAACTAGATTGTAAGTAGAAGATCAGATGAGAGTGTGCACGGAGTAAACTTGTTCATATGTAATAATAGTGCGCAAGCTAGACTAGAAAGACCATTTATGATAGAGCTGATCAGTAGGGCACTTGGGGATGAGGTATAAAATACTAATATGTTAAAATAAGTTACTGGTCTCATTATTCATCATGGTTGCAAAATCGTGCTTAGGCGCCGTTCAACCGCCTAGATTAGGGTTTTTGTCTGAAATGGGAAGTGGCATTGGATTATGGACAATATTAGGAAGTTCTTTTTTCTTTTGACAATATTAGGAAAACCGAGTTTGGGAAACACGGTTGTGGTCAAAACTGCATTTCCTAAACTCGGGTTGGTCGCATATATACGGTATTGACAACCGCGTTTCCCAAAGTGATACGATAGCCGCATTTGGGAAATGCGGCTATGCTATTAACATCGCCGGCGACCTGCGTTTATAGGTTTTATTAATGGTTTAAAGTTGACATGCACAGTAAAATCTCCAATCCAACTTTTCAGAAATTATCTCTGTTTATAGTTTGTCACTACTACTTTATCTATCTATAATTCGATATATAAAATAGATCAATAAATAGATAAGTAATTAGCCGTGTTTAAAAAAGATGAAAATAATAAATTGTATTTGAACTTTAGCGTTGCCCCACTGCTAATGCTTCTAGATCCACCATGGGAAAAACTTACATATCTTCTAGATCCGCCCGGAACCACTCCCACCGCCGTAAAGTCAACCGGATTCCAGAGGTGACCGTCGGACTCCCCAGGTAGGCGAAACTGTGGCGTCGGAGAAGTTCCCATGCGAGAACACCCACCGGAGAAGCGAGCAGCGAGCGTCGGAAACACACACGTCTACTGTTGCTTTTGTCGCTATCGAAAATTCCAAGGGAGATACGAACAAAATAGTTGTATGTCGTACTCGGACTTTTACCGTTTACAAAACTACCAAGAACTCTAACAGTACTGTAAAGCTTCAATCGTTCAAACCACAAAAACAAGTTTGGGACCGCCGAGGACAAAAACGCAGGTCGCCGGCGATGTTAATAGCATAGCTGCATTTCCCAAATGCGGCTATCGTATCACTTTGTGTATACGACAACCGCGTTTGGGAAATGCGGCTTTGACAACAACCGCGTTTCCCAAACTCGGTTTTCCTAATATTGTCAAAAAAAAAAATTCCTAATATTGTCCATAACCCAATGCCACTTCCCATTTCAGTCAAAAACCCCCTAGATTATCACCGGTCACAATCGGTGTTCTAGGCGCCAAACTAGACTGCTCAGTCAGTCAATTAGTTATTGTTTTATTTTTTTTTAAATAGTTATTTCACTTAAAATGACGTTGTTTTGAGCAAAATAATCCTAAATCTTGTAATAGATCGATATGTTCTTTATACAATTTACAATTTTAGATGTTTTCTAGGTTAATATTTAATAGTTTAGTATTAAGTATTAAATTATTTAAATAATTTATAATTATCAAGTCTAAAAAATTAAATAATTTTTAAAAAATATTAAAAAATAAAAAATAAAAAACATAATAAAACATGTGCCAATATATTTTTTTCAACCATGTTATTCATACATATTTTTTCAACCATGTTATTCATACATATCAAAATCAACTTAATTTATAAGGCACTTTAGTGAGCAACCAATTCGTCCGTTACATAATTGACCGAAAAATTTAACAAATCAAAAAAATTATTTTGATCTTTGAAACGGATATAAATAAATTCTATGACCGATTGAAAAGTCAAAAGTCCAAAGTCTTTAAAAGTAATAAATGGAACGAATTGAAAGTCCCATTTTGAGTTGGGCAAGTTATCAGTTAGTTAACGGACAATTTACTAAATACTAATACTAACCCCTAGGCTTAAACTCAAATGAACCATGATGAACTTATAAAGACCAAAAGTGCAATATAACGTTTCATTTTTATTTTAATAATGTCTTATATAATTTAGAATAAAACACAAATTTTAATAATTTTATAGCAGTTTTAAACTTTCTCGTAAATCAAATATTTTTCTCTCAAAAGATTGAATCCCTAACCTTAAAACTCCCTACACTCTGATCCGATAGAACATTTAAGAAGATATTATAGCAATTTTAAGTTTTCTCATAAATCAAATATTAAATCACAAATGGTGCATGCTTGAAATTAACTAAAGGCCCACACGCCACCTTTCTTCAATGCCACATTGAAATAGTGGCAATGGCTATCGTGAGTGTTACGGAGTGATGTTTTTTCAGTTAGCAAAATGTGACGTATATGAAATTTAAAGTCACATAATTATGTTCATACGTTTCAGATGTCTTTCTTCTTATTGAAAAAGAAAATTATAGTCCGCACGGGCTTAGCTCACTGATTCAGTAGACAGTATTTGAGAGAAATGACCAATGTTTGGACCTTGGCACCCACATTATAAGGAGATTATGTTTAAAGTTGGTAGATTCATTGTGCCCGGGATCTATCGGGCCCTTTTGGGTTGGGGAATTCAACCTTTTAGGAGAAGAAAAAGAATTATAATAAAAATAGATAACATTGGCACACTATGTTTTTAGATTTGGTTTCTTTTAATACACTGAAAAAAATAAAAACACTACATAAAATGTGACAAGATCACACCAATCAGCTGGTCCTAAAACAATAAGTACCTTATCCCTTGGGCAAGATCTCATAGGTGTGAAGCTAGTCCGAGCTAATTCTATCCTATGCAAGACGGCGACTGATCTGCACATCGATTAATTCCTCTAAGATGTTGAAAAATTTATAGAGAAATAATGTTAATGGGATATGTGTATGTGATTTAATGTTCATGTGATTCTTTAGAGTTGTAGAGTGTGTAAATAATAATCACATGTAGCATTATATTAGACGTTGGATAAGAATTTATAATTGTGATTTAGTTATATTATCATGATTGAAGTTGTGAGAGTACAAGCTAAGAGAACTAATTTCGTGAATAATCAGTAATTGATTCAACACTAAGCTAAGAAATGCTTAAATATACAACATTTGGTGTATATATACACAACTCACGTATGGACATAATATGCTCTAAACTTGTAGGAAAGTCAACAAATTCATGGTGTGATGGGATGATATTCATTATTTTTTTAATATCATCTTTAATAATGTCGAGCAAATTTAAAAATATAGTGAGTCTCAATTATTGTGTTTTTAGAGTTATATTAGTATTTTCACCCGTGCGATGCACGGAATGGAATTGTTATAATATATTAAGAATATTTAAATCGATAAAGAGTTAATTTCACCAGAGATCGCTTATCTTTCCTGACAATTCCAAATTTAATCCTAGAATATAGTTATTAATTATTACGATTTATTCTATGTTATAATTCTTATGTTAATATTCTTACTATTATTATTAACACTTATTATAATGGTCGTGAGGCACAATAATAATATAACCATAATTAAATATTATTGTATTGTATTCCGGAGTTAATGCCATTTTTGGTCCTAGACTTATTGAGGCATTGACACTTTTTATCCTCCATAATAAAAATTGCCACTTAGTAGACACTGTTATTGGTCGTTGGACAGTTACAATGAAGCCGTTTGTTGACCGTGAATTAGAAGGGCTTTTCTGTCTTCTATATCTATCTATACTATATATAAAAACAAAATTCTGAAATTTTAACTTCCCGCCCAATTCCTAAAAAATCTCTCTTCCCAATAAAATAGATTGATTTCTACTTTCTGATTCGTACAATAATTCTGGGTTAAAATTCTATTCAAAAATTTTAAAATAGTGTAATACAATTCACTTTGCACATCTATACTATATATAAAAACAAAATCTTGAAATTTTAACTTCCCGCCCAATTCTTAAAAAAACTCTCTTTCCAATAATATATATTGATTTCTACTTTCCCATTCGTAAAATAATTCTGGGTAAAAGTTATATTCTAAAATTATAAAATAATGTAATACAATTCCCTTTGCACATCTATACTATCTATACTATATATATATATATATATATATATATATATATATATATATATATATATATATATATATATATATATATATATATATATAAACAAAATCCTAAAATTTTAACTTCCCGCCCAATTTCTAAAAGATCTCTCTTCTCAATAAAATATATTGATTTCTACTTTCCCATTCGTACAATAATTCTGGGTTAAAATTCTATTCTGAAATTATAAAATAGTGTAATACAATTTCCTTTGCACATCTAAATCTATATTATATTTTAAAACAAAATCCTGAAATTTTAACTTCCCGCCCAATTCCTAAAAAATCTCTCTTCCCAATAAAATATATGGATTTCTACTTTCCAATAATTCTGGGTAAAAATTCTATTCTAAAATTATAAAATAGTGTAATACAATTCCCTTTGCACATCTATACTTCTATACTATATATAAAAACAAAATCCTTAAACTTTAACTTCTCGCCCAATTCCTAAAAAATCTCTCTTCTCAATAAAATATATTGATTTCTACTTTCCCATTCGTACAATAATTCTGGGTTAAAATTCTTTTTCAAAAATTATAAAATAGTGTTATACAATTCCCTTTGCACATCTATATCTAATCTATACTATATATAAAAACAAAATCCTAAAATTTTAGCATCCCGTCCATTTCCTAAAAAATCTCTATTTCCAATAATATATAGTGATTTCTACTTTCCCATTCGTAAAATAATTCTGAGTAAAAATTCTATTCTAAAATTATAAAATAGTGTAATACAATTCCCTTTGCACATCTATTCTATATCTATAC